ACAGATGAGGCCCGGGAGGGACAGTCACCAAATGGGAAGCCGTGCCTTCGAGTGCTTTGATAAATGCGGTCAACTTATCGGTGTTCACCTGTTCCTCACCGAAGTTCACGACATCGACGTTCACTTTTTCCTTCTTCAGACGTTTGGCTAATTTTATTAACTCCTTCTCATCCGAATCGACAGGACTTCCAACGAAGACCACAATTCGCATCTTATGGTTCTTCCCCTGTCTGTGCTTTAGTGCCAAATGTGCCACTCGTATGCCTGTCATCAGATTTATCTCACCGATCGGTTCCACGGCATGAAGTTTCGACAGAATGCGTCCGACATCTGTGGTCAATGTGCTCAACACCTGCGGGTTGGCCGCCAGTGTCAACAAACCCACGTTGTTCTCGGGGTTGGATCTGGTCTTCGAGTGACACACCATTGAGACCGCGTCCTGTTGTGCCTGAAGACGCGTCGGCACGAAGTCGCCATTCCTCATGAACTCACTGTTGTCCACACTATTGGACACAATCACCACACAATGGGTTAGTCATGGCGTGTTAGTCAGTGCATGGATCAGATGCTCACCAAATGATAGTACTCTCCAAAACCATCGTGTCTTCAGTGGTGTCTTCAGTGGGGATCAGATGTGAGTGTTTTGTGTGACAATTGCTTTGAGCGACGATTTGCTGAATCACTGAACACTTCAATACAAACGGGTCTTCACTTCATCACAAATAACGTCCAAAAGTGCGGATCAAATGCAGACGTAATTGAAGTGATGTTTGGCTTATGAGAGGAAAACGTGTCATAAAATGAATGCCTTTTTGTTGGAGAAGTGAATGCCGTATGGGATCACCTCTGGAGACAAAGTAACCACTAATCCATTCATTTGTATTACTCGTCCACTGCTGTCACTGACACCAGACATCTGAAGAAATGCCGATTTATTTCCATCGCCTCGAGAACGCCCTCAAGAGAGCCAACGGTGAGTCCGAAGAGTCACTCATTTGATTCAATGCTATTTCAATGCAATTGCCTTCAAATGTCTTCAAATGTCTTATCATTTGTTGATATGATTTGATTGTTTGCTTTGATTTGATGAATTGAATTGATTTTCTGATTGAATTGGTGTCCAATCGGTGTCTTAATTCGTGTTAATGTGTATTGAGTGCAGAGTTCATAGATGTGGGCAAAAAGCCGCGGGCGCTGGAGATCCTGTGCGATGTCCTGCGGTCGCGAAAGCACAGGACGTGGCAGAAGAAGCACGAAGACATTATGATTAAATACCTGGAACTGTGTGTTGAGCTCAAGAAGTCATATGTGGCCAAAGAAGGCATATATCAGTACAAAATCATATGCCAACAGACGTACATCAACTCCTTCGAGGACGTGGTCCGCAAATACCTCGAAATGGCTGAAGAGAAGGCACAGTCGGCGCAGAAGGAGAGCAAACAGTCGGTCCTCGATGTGGACGACTTGGACAACGCGCAGACACCCGAAGACATTCTGCTGAGCGCTGTTAGCAATGAGGACACACAGGACCGCACGGACAGAGTTGTTCTCATCCCGTGGGTTAAGTTCTTGTGGGAGTCGTATCGCCAGTGTTTGGATCTATTGAAGAACAACTCGCGAACTGAGCGCCTATACCATGACGTGGCACACCAGGCCTTCAAATTCTGTATTAAATATAACCGGAAGACTGAGTTCCGCAAACTGTGTGACAATCTTCACACCCATTTGGATATATTGAAGAAACAACAGCAACAGAACCAAGCGGTCGGTCATCAGCAGCAGAACGCCATTAACCTGAACTCACCCGAGAGTAGAGTCACTCATTTGATTCAATGCTATTTCAATGCAATTGCCTTCAAATGTCTTCAAATGTCTTATCATTTGTTGATATGATTTGATTGTTTGCTTTGATTTGATGAATTGAATTGATTTTCTGATTGAATTGGTGTCCAATCGGTGTCTTAATTCGTGTTAATGTGTATTGAGTGCAGAGTTCATAGATGTGGGCAAAAAGCCGCGGGCGCTGGAGATCCTGTGCGATGTCCTGCGGTCGCGAAAGCACAGGACGTGGCAGAAGAAGCACGAAGACATTATGATTAAATACCTGGAACTGTGTGTTGAGCTCAAGAAGTCATATGTGGCCAAAGAAGGCATATATCAGTACAAAATCATATGCCAACAGACGTACATCAACTCCTTCGAGGACGTGGTCCGCAAATACCTCGAAATGGCTGAAGAGAAGGCACAGTCGGCGCAGAAGGAGAGCAAACAGTCGGTCCTCGATGTGGACGACTTGGACAACGCGCAGACACCCGAAGACATTCTGCTGAGCGCTGTTAGCAATGAGGACACACAGGACCGCACGGACAGAGTTGTTCTCATCCCGTGGGTTAAGTTCTTGTGGGAGTCGTATCGCCAGTGTTTNGAACACAACAAGACGTTCCTCCGCCCCCAACACTTGACCCCAACACTGCTGGCGGCAGTGCGGGCGCAGCGCCTGCCGGCACATCCATTCCTCAGGAGGACGCGCTTCTGGAGAAGGCTCTGGCGATGTCTCTCGAAGCCGATGAGGACAGGGGCACTGGAGTGAAGCCACCAATGGTTGATCCGTCAGCGATGCCTGACTTCGCCACTATGACTGAAGAGGAACAGATTGCTTACGCAATGCAGATGTCTCTACAACACGCGCACGACTCCAGTGCCAAACCAGTCGACTCTCCCGTCCCGATGGAGACCGACGACACCGAAGACAAAGTATAAGACATACCTTTCAATTGTTTATTCAATTATTAATTGGGTTTTATTTGATTTATAGACTGAAAACAAGGATAAATAGCAATCGATTTGTCCGGTGTTTGAAGTGGTTTTTAATTTAGTGTATCCTTTATTTAAAGATAAAAAAATTGATTACATTTTTATATAAATAAAAACTCATTTCTTTTTGAATAGCTTTTAACTCATTCAATGTATTGATTAATTAAAGCGATAGGAAATTCCTTTTATAAATGGATTGTAAGTTAAATTATATGAAGACATCAATGAAGAGTTAATTGCATTCAATAAATAAATTGTAATAAATATTCTCAAAAAAGTGTTCATTGAGTTTAATTTTATTTAAATGTTTTAAAAAACACAATTCATGTACCAAATCGGGAAGATTTAATGCCCGACCTTTGTGGGTTACTCTTACAATACAAACTTTAACAAATAATTTAATAATTTAAACAGTTTGAGGTATAAATAAATAAATTAAACAAAAAATATGTAAATTAAGAGAATAAAGAAATAGAATTATCAGTAATTGAGAGCAGATTTGTTTGTCGGACACTACTG